AGTTTTATTCATGGTCAGCGCACGACGTGAATTTGCACCTGTCGGCGCCGAGCCGGTCATTAACGAGAAATATCACAACAATGAGTCGCCATAATTGTTGCTAGTAATATTCGAACCTTATTACGTTCCATGTTAATGTGACTCTTCATTGCCAGGTAGCACCAATTGCAACAAGACCGATGCAGTAAGTCTCATATGAGGTTGCGAAAGGAAGATTTGAGTGAAAACCATTGTCGTGAGATGTTTGGATCTGAGAAAACCGAGATGATAAGAGAGATATTGCGTGTTTGCATAACTTATCAACTGTGGTTTTTGACCAGTATTTATCAATCTCTATGGATCGTAAGTTATGATTCTCTAGATGTAGATCTATATGCATATTTCGCGGTTTCATTACAAAATGCATGGGCGATCTTGGAGGTATAATATTTTAATTATAATTCTCTGAAATGAGAATTCATGTACTTAATCACTACCTATATGTACATTCTGAAATATCCCTCTTTGATAAGGTTCTCTCTATGACTTGAAAACTCTGTCATAATCCTAGTCTATGCTAACATAACGAAGAGACGTGCATAATCCAGGCCATGGATTAACATAGTCGCTGTGCCTACACAATTGAGTTAAGCTACATATTAGTTGTAGAGAAATTGGTTGAGGATCAGGATGTTGACAAGTGATAGCAGTGCACGGACCAGCTTCTCATGTATTTAGACAGGTAGTCAGGCACAGCCCCAAAAGTGTCCAATATAGATCATATCATAATCCACCATACTTTAGCAAATAATTACCCCTCCTAAAGTCTACATCTCAGTTCTCGTACATTATATCACAACTGACTCTAAGTCCATCCCAAGAATATCTCCAGTGCTCATCATTCACAACAAACTCATACTCTCCTGTAATCACCTAGAAGATCTTTGAAAGTCCTGTAGCCCTCATGAACTCTCAGTATGTTTCAACAAGGTTCACTGTGAATCATATAAGTTCCCTGTCATCCAAGATCTCCCCAGGAACCTCCCTTCGTATAATTGCCTGCGCTAGACAGCGTAGGCTACAGGAACCCTTAGGCTTGAAAGCCGTCACAATATACACATATATAAGCCAAAAATATAACGCTAAATACAGTAAGAACTTGTTAAGACGATCATGGTTAAGCCGATATTGCCGTTTATACAATATATTTTTCGGAACGACTTTGTTCCCATACATTTACCAATTACTCGATTATCGTTCTTCAACCTCTGAATATCGTCTTTACCAGGTTAGAAAGGTTAGATCAGTGCTAATAATGCCGCCAAAGAATGGAATGTCAGTAGATCTATGAGAGGATTGCACCAGAGTCAATAGCAGTCTGCACGAGTGTATCCAAAATGGATTTATTTTGTGTCCAAAGAGAAAACTACATACTTGTGGGATCACCCCCTAGATATTGTCTCGCTGATTCCTAACATTATCAACTCATTGGAGCCGGATAAGCTCCGGATCCCATCTACAAGACAATAGCCTGTAACTATAGGGCAAGATTGAACAGCTGTACGCGGTTTCTTCTACGAACCTGGGTGTGAAATATTCTCTTAGAGCCAAGTTCTGTCATATTTCGCAATATCGAAGAAGTTGGCCCACGAGGCAATGATTCAAGTTACTCCTCCACGTCGTTTTTTCGCTCCCAACAAGTTAACTCCTACCTAAGTCTCATCAAGTCTACAAGTACGATCAAGTACATCCCCATCCCAATGACCACACCTCTCTCCGACCTTCTCTAGCCTCAGTTGACCACCAAATACGCGACCACGCCGATATTTTTACCCGACGGAGGAAGCAAAGCGCGGCGCACAAATCTAGGGGACAGGTCTTTGGGATGGACGTGAGAGGATTCAGGACAAGTTCACAAGATCATGCGAAGAATGGATTCAGTCTTGACTGGCGTTGAACCTTGAATTCTGGCAAGGAGTTTTTACGAACTGGGCTTTGGGTGCGCCAAGACTTTGCTTGCGAGAGTGTAGCTGACACTATAAAAACAAGCCAACGATGGAAGGTGTCGTGGTCCGCCTCCTGGTGGTGTTCTCTGGTATAGTTTGAGTAGCCTGGGCACCTACTCCACCTGGGAAGGAGACGCCTGAGACCATATTTCGCGCGGAGAAAAGTTGATGGATGACGGAGGCATGTCTGGATAGCCCAGGGTTTGGAGACGTTCTCCTGAGTGGGTTTTCACGGATGAGGCTTGACTTGGGGTGAGGAAAAAGCCATCATAACTTCGCAGTGGTACTAGCAAATGAAATCCGAGGCATGAGTACTCTTTCTTGAGGTTGAATCATCTTTTCTGTACTTTTCTTTGGTATTGTGTCATAGCTAGATAGCTGCATACGCAATTAAAATCTGATGCAAAAAAAAAAGCCTGTAACTAGAGCAACGACGTGCTCTGCGACAATGGGCGCACCGCCAGGCCACAAAACCACCACAAAAACGGCGCTTTGAGTGGTTCTTCGCTGAGTGTGGCCATCGATTAAGCCAGTCCACAGTCTCCGAGCCCTTAGCAAGACCTTTGCGAAACTCAAGGAATCTACAAGTACTACTGCGCTACAACAGCGAGCTGGAAACTGGCCTGAACTAGAGAGTATTAAAGCGGTTAAAGAAGGCAATTGGGAGTATAAAAGAGGCATTAAAGGCAAAAATTAGCCTAGATAGCTGGATTAGATAATCATATTATTTACAGCAATATCCTCTACATGACAATATTCTTCATGGCCCCGATTATATCGTCTTAACAGGGGTCTTACTGTACATGTGTGTCGGTAATAGATCCGAGAAACCTATAACCTGCATTTGAAACAAAGTTATCTGCTTGAATGCTAGTATGAAATTAATGCTAATGCCTCTTATGCTTAGCTTTGTAGTATGGTAGATCTGGTAGCTGGTACATAGTTATTATGGGAGCATGGCAGCATGGCAGCATGGCATTATAGCGCATGGAGGAGATCCAGTCTCTATATATTGGCACTGCAAGTAGTACTGTGAGTAGTATGAGAGATAGGTTTTTGATATGGGACATATGGCATGGCTGCTCATTTGGGAGCACACTTTGGTGTGCTGCATACTGTTTACGTGATTGGTCTTTATGCGATCAAGCTAGGGGATGAGGGACGAGCTTCCCCCATGCTATAACATAATAATCATTACAATATCTTCACTTCTGCATATTAATGAAGATATCTTTCCACAAATTATGTCAGCTTTTCCAGCGCAAGACAAAATTCCCAAATCATATACCAATTATTACAGTGCGCACTAAACTTTCAGTGAGGGATATATTGATGACAATGATATGGGATGGGGAGTTCTTTTTTTGCATCAGATTTTAATTGCGTATGCAGCTATCTAGCTATGACACAATACCAAAGAAAAGTACAGAAAAGATGATTCAACCTCAAGAAAGAGTACTCATGCCTCGGATTTCATTTGCTAGTACCACTGCGAAGTTATGATGGCTTTTTCCTCACCCCAAGTCAAGCCTCATCCGTGAAAACCCACTCAGGAGAACGTCTCCAAACCCTGGGCTATCCAGACATGCCTCCGTCATCCATCAACTTTTCTCCGCGCGAAATATGGTCTCAGGCGTCTCCTTCCCAGGTGGAGTAGGTGCCCAGGCTACTCAAACTATACCAGAGAACACCACCAGGAGGCGGACCACGACACCTTCCATCGTTGGCTTGTTTTTATAGTGTCAGCTACACTCTCGCAAGCAAAGTCTTGGCGCACCCAAAGCCCAGTTCGTAAAAACTCCTTGCCAGAATTCAAGGTTCAACGCCAGTCAAGACTGAATCCATTCTTCGCATGATCTTGTGAACTTGTCCTGAATCCTCTCACGTCCATCCCAAAGACCTGTCCCCTAGATTTGTGCGCCGCGCTTTGCTTCCTCCGTCGGGTAAAAATATCGGCGTGGTCGCGTATTTGGTGGTCAACTGAGGCTAGAGAAGGTCGGAGAGAGGTGTGGTCATTGGGATGGGGATGTACTTGATCGTACTTGTAGACTTGATGAGACTTAGGTAGGAGTTAACTTGTTGGGAGCGAAAAAACGACGTGGAGGAGTAACTTGAATCATTGCCTCGTGGGCCAACTTCTTCGATATTGCGAAATATGACAGAACTTGGCTCTAAGAGAATATTTCACTCCCAGGTTCGTAGAAGAAACCGCGTACAGCTGTTCAATCTTGCCCTCCGAATGGGGAGTTCGATAGGCTAATTAGCCGGACTTACAAATAATTTATTCTTGGCACTCCATGATATATCATATTTCAATAGTTTCGACGCCGAGGACAAGTCTGGCCGGACGCCGTAATGAATTAATCATGGGGAACATATATCTTACTCGTGCCCATTTGCTTCCTCACAGTCGCAGACTCAGTGGTGACTAAACTTCTATTCCGTTCTATTTGGCGCATCAGGCTTCGTTCCTATCGAGCAACTAGCTTGGCCAAGCAGGGAAATTCACGCAGTAGAATGAAGCAAAGGTCACTTGCAATACCATCCGTTGTTCTCCTCATGAATCTAGATTAGATAAGTTACCCTGGTAAATCCCTCAACTGAACATAAACTACTCTGCCGATGACAATGAAACTAGGGTTGCATGACTCGAATAATCAACGATTTGCAAGCCATGTAGGCTGAGCAGAGCTCGTCCATCCTTTAGGGCAGTTTTTCATGGAGCAAAAGCTAGATGCTGCGGCGTCCAGTAATTTAAATAGGCACACTATGAAAGAACATGCGGTCGAATGTCTGCTTACAAAACTATCTCTTTTTCTGCCATTTTAATCATCCAAAGTGTCAAGCACCTCTCCTTTGACTCCCGCCCACAGAGACATTTGCATTGAAGAGAAAAAAACAAAATCCATCCATTCCCATCACATCAGCCTTTTTCTTCCCCAAACCCTTGTTTCTACAATTAGAACGCTCACTGTCTCCGGCACTCAATTTTAATTTCTCGAGGAAATCCTCTAGATGAAGGTTCCATATGCTGCTTCGATGGCGGCACTGACTGGTCTCTCGCTTCTGGTGCCTTCGGCGTATGGAATGGAATTTTTTAACTGCGGCGATAATGCAAGATTTCTCGTCAGCTTAATGATGGGTTTTGGATCACGGGATCCTACAACAATACAGCGAGACACCGATCCACCTTATCCCGAGGGACAAATCTACGGTGCAAGACGATTTGAAATGCCGATACAGAGTAACAGTTAGTTTTTCTACTCTGTCGACTTGGCTGCCACTAACTGTCCTTTCCTACCACCAGCTATGAGGAGCTTCATGGTTCAAAGCATTAGTGGAAGCCAACCCATTCGACTCTATGAAAAAGTTTCCTCAGGATGGAAATTCTGTCCTATCGAGGATTACGATATTTAGAAATCAGAACAGTGATGAGGACCTGAACTCCAGATACGAGCGCAACGCACAGTTTTACGGTATGTGAGCCGCTAAAGTTCAAGGCCACATCGAGATTGCATGCTATTGTGTTTGAGTGGTCATGTGGTGAAGTGAGCACTTGGCTCGTAAGATCAGTACCTAAGCTTTTGGAGATACGGTTTGCAGTATGAAGACGAACCTATCTAAAGAACTGCTATTATTCGTTGTATGATTACCATCTATATGAAGGAGAATAGTATTGTAATTTGTTTGCTAGACCTGGCGGCGTAGCTTATCACAGTTAGAGAGTGTATTCTAGAATGCAGTGGTGGCTCGTTACAGATGCGATTGCGACAATACAATTGAGGGTTGTATGAAAGTTTGGCACTTCTATGGGTCTCGATTGTGTGGAAGTTGATTTACTTATTGATGATAATTGCTTGTTATGTCTATCTACAGAGAATGTGCCACAGTTCTACATGTGCCCGTAATCGCTTAGATTTGGCTAGTGGACTGTCCCCTCTTTTACTTCGCTCCCGTGTTCCATCACGTGAGATATAATAACTGCTCACCACAAAGTCCGCAGATTGGACAGCATTAGATCACAACAGATAGTGCTATTTGTACTCGTAGCTCATCTATCTACTTAATGGTAGAAGATTCAATCCTATGATATCGAATATTCCACACACATCTCCATCTCATCCACGTACAACTTGGTGTCAAATCCGATGATTTCTATTTTCTCTTAGATGACTAGGTCTATATACACACAACATCTAGACCTAATTTCTATTATATCCTTACAACTAACTATGCGCATTTCCCACTAGAATTGTTGAGATTCGTCCCATCTCCACCTAGCGCATACCGCATCCCAGTTAATAGTTGGTAATTCCAACTTCACTGTTACACATTGAACTTGGAGCAACATCACAAGGAATTCTCATTACATCATGTAATAGTTCAACAGATATTATGATACCACAATACAACTGTCCGTAATTTCATTACACTGTGTACATCCTGTATAGGTCTTTATATTATCTACCGCAGCCAAAACAATTGGCTGAAAGAGTTAACATCATAACACACTCCTTGTGAGGGAACAAACTATGTGGTGCTACACAGTGACATTATTTACTAGTCACGTGGCATACTTCGTATATTAATTATCTGAATACCCCATAGCGGCTCGTCTCTCCCGTTGTAGATAATCTAGTTCACCAGATTTGACCTTGACAATCTTGCTTAGCTTACCATAACATCCCTCGCCTTCTCTACTCACAGCCCGGGCGACTGAGCGCCCTACGGTATTCTGATCGTTATACTTGCCATGTATTATCGATTGTTAGCATTTCTATCTGGATATCGATCCGCACAAACATACTCTATCATAGTAGCTCATATTGATACTCAGGATTGCGATGGATAGCCGAGACTAATGGTGTTTATGGCAGTGCGTGGCTTGGTGATTGTGGACAGGGATAGGATACGTATATATATATATATATATATATATATATTTCACGCACTTGACTTCTCTTGAATATGATGATGCTTCCGACTACATTCATAATGTCCATACCTACTCTGGCCTAATCAACTCTTTCTGTTTTACCTCCTAAAACTTGTTTATGCGCCGGTTTATCTTTAATATTGGATTATGGTTCCTTTAGATGGATAGTATGGTATGGGTTGCACAAACGCGTGTGATCACCATAGACTCAGCATTCTTTGGGAATGCTGCAGGCTAGCTCGTACCAACGTTGCACTGCGAGGCTCATCTACACGCGAATATTGAACTACTATTACAGGGCATATAAGATGAACAAACGTCTTACCCTTTTTACCCCCAAGTGAACGATAATCACAATCATAACTCCGTTGTATTAAGGTGCAGGGATGATTTTGTTTGACCAATGCTCTTGTAATTTAACATTAAATTTACGGGTCATGATTTTCTTCGTCTTGCTGGCCGTCATGGAGCTCAGAGTTATGAATAGATTCAATCTTTAACAGGAGAAGATCTTGAAGGTTCTCCTATCCCGCATGAGGTGGAGGGTGATTGAGGAAGTCCCTTAACAATTTCGACTGGCTCGATCATGTCAGTGTCGGGGGCAGAGACGGCGGGAAAGGCATTTTCTTTCCCTTTGCTTGTGACCTTGACCATCTTCACCCACTTTCGAGACTGGGCAAGGCCCGCTGTTCGATTAAGAGGTCTCGGCCGGATTCTCGTGTTGTTCAACGTAGCGTTTGGACGCTTACTCCGAACAGGCGGCATGCGAAGGATACCAGAAGCTTCATCTCAATTTTCCCATTGTAAGCAACGAGCGCGAGAGGGGGGAGAGAGAGAGAGAATGGAAATATTTGAAAATTATCGGCAATGGTAGCACCGATCATTTGTTATGTCTTGATAGCTGAATGCACATTCAATTATACATAAATCATAAACAATCACGTGAACCTCCACATGCCCATGCCCGTTTCAACGACAGTCAAACTCTTCACATCCAGTCTAGACAGTTGCCATGCCCTATTTGCGCCGCTAATAGCCAGACAAAGATAGTTCCAGGGAGGGCAAACTCGCGTGGTTTCTTGCGACGATTAATCCTGCCTTGATAGAATTCGTAGTACAGTTATTATGCCTAACGACCGTGAGCTCCAATAGGACATTCTTTATGACCAGATGTAATTTCGAAAAATCGGTAGTATGGAATTTCGTCAATACGTTGGATTAAGAACGTTCTAGGATCTGGTCGTAGGGAATGATGGTTAGTGAGAGCGAAGTGGAAAGTATGGGAATACTAACTACCGCGTATCTCCACAGTCATACGATATGCGCCAATTATATTTCCATGGAGATAAGGAGGGTCGTCAGCCCTCATTCCTCTCGGTCCAGCTAGTTTTAGGTATTCATTAATTTCCGTCTCGGGAAATTTGGCGCCTTCGCCACAATCTAAAACAATGACTCCGTACACAGCGGGCACGAGGAGCGAAAGACCAGCCAGTGCCGCGATCGAAGCAGTATTTAAAAACTTCATTTCGAGGCTTCCTTGTCACGAAATTGGACTTGGTGCTGGATACGGTGAGCCGTCTGATTGTAGAATGCAGGTCTAGGGGAAGACAAAGCCCGATGTGATGGGAATAGATGGATTTTGTTTTCTAGTGTTCAACCAAAATATCTCTGTTGACGAAAGTCAAAGAAGTGGCATAGAGAATTTGGTCGATGAAAATGGCAGGAAAAGAGACAGTCTTGTAATCAAACATTCGACCTCATCTACTTCCATGGTGTGCCTATTTAAATTACTGGACGCCGCAGCATCTAGCTTTTGCTCCATGAAAAACTGCCCTAAAGGATGGACGAGCTCTGCTCAGCCTACATGGCTTGCAAATCGTTGATTATTCGAGTCATGCAACCCTAATTTCATGGTGAGTGGAAGAGTGATCTTTGTTCGACTGTGGGATATACCAGGGTAAATCATCTGATATAGATTCACGAGGAGAACAACGGATGGTATTGCAAGTGACCTTTGCTTCATTCTACTGCGTGAATTTCCCTGCTTGGCCAAGCTAGTAGCTCGATAGTAACGAAGCCGGATGGGCCAAATAGAACGGAATAGAAGTTTAGTCACTAGTGAGCCTTCGAATATGAAGGACCAAATGAACTGATTTGAGATACGTCATCTTCATGAATAATTTATACCGCAACCTGCCGGACTTGTCCTTGGCGTCTAAGCGACTCTAACTACCGTCCATCAGCTCAACTACACAGCACTTTCTCGCAAAATTTTGACTAATTTAGATCATTGTGGATAAATTCTGCCAAGTAGCCCATAGCAACTTTGCGGTGCAATAGTGCACAACAGATCAAATTCTGGCAAGTGCGAGGGCGTGAGCCATGTTATTGTGGTTATGAGCTGCGCGGAAGTCATGAGGAGTGGAGGATGTTATATTTTACGGGTGACAGTGCATAGACTCGTACAATATTATGCTGTAGGTATATGGACAGATAGTGTAAGACTAAACCTGTATCCCTTAATTGTGAGTACATTTATGAAACTATATACAAGCTCGCCAAACCAGTACACTAGTGATATATGCTGTGGACTTGAGCCAAACGCAATGCCCTAGCCACGAAGACTGCGGCGTCTCATATTATGACACATATTTTTACTGGACAAGGATGCAGCTCATAAATACACTTCATTCCTTCGTACTATTTGTAATGGGGTGAGGCAATGCATTAGTCCCAGTGTCACGGCGTAGATTAAGCACAAGTGAAAGTACAGCTTGTATAACTGTTAAATGACAAGGTGTGTCTAGCTGCTACAGGGGCAATCCGAGTCAGGCAGAGTCAAACACATGAGTCGCGTCAATTACGCTATTCATGCAGATCAGTCGCGTGGAGGAAAATTTGTACTTAGGAGTCTGGCTGTCTCGATCTTAGTATACTTTTAGTTAACTCGAATATCTGATTCTATCTGACCTCAATCCACTGTGCTAATTCCATCGTCTTCTATACAGTCATACTGCGACAGAAGTCCTCCCAAATTTAATAGGTTATGAGCCCGGTTTGCCACAGGTATAAATAGAATCAAAATCGACTCCAAAGCCTTGACGGCTTAGCCTAAGATTCGAGAAAGGAATCTACAATCGTCTAAGATTCGAGAAAGGAATCTACAATCGTCTACGATTCGAGCAAGGAATCGAAATTTCGCCTTGGACTAAACCTCACAAGAATGGAGGATAATGAAGCCCTTGGCCGCATCCCCTCGCTCTCAAGGGATAACTATGAGAGCTGGTTCAGAGAAATGAAGCTAAAACTTAAATCTAGGTCAGTATTTTTCACTATTGAAACAACATTGGAAGAATACGCGACCACGAAACAAAACCGAAGTAAAACAATACCTTCGACATCTGGTATCGATGGAGGATCAATCAAAGTTGAAGTGCTGAGTACGAGTTTGGACGAAACAAAAGTTGAAAAGTATGAGAAAGCTGAAGCAACGTCACTTTTCCTCATACTCCAGGCTCTCAGCGCAGAAGATTTTGATCTGATTGATGAGCACGAGACAGCACTCAGAGTCTGGAACGCACTCAAAGGCAAGTATTTTAGAACGAACGAGTATTCTGCAAACACGTATCTAACTAAAATTGCAACGTTTGAATTCCGTCAAGAAATGGGCTTGGACAATTCTTGGGCTAAGCTAAAAGAGTTTCGCCGAAAACTCATCAGTGCAGATCCTATCATGAAGAACGCTTATCCAGATGCGGCGTTATTCTTAATTCTGACAAAGACACTCCCAGCGGCCTTTAAGGCGACAACAGATGGATTCAGAATACAGGTTACTCTTTCTGTTGAGGATAAGCTGAAGATTTTGAACGAAGTCGAAGAAGATCTACGACTTCAGAATGAAAAAGCCCTAGTTGCTAGGCAAAAGTTGTCTAAGTTTCCACAGAAAATGCGACAAAATCAAAACTCTGATTCTGATAGCCCTGCTTATAGGTGCTATTTATGTAAACGGTCACACACTGTCGCTCGATGTCCTAGGTTAGAAACAGCTGCGAGACTTTTGAAAGAGCACGACAGGAAGAAGAAAGTGCAGGAATCAACTAAACCACGCCTGCAAGATAAAGATAAACCCAAAACTTCTCGATCAGCACAAAAGCAGTCCAGATATCACAATGCCTTCTCTGCTGAAACATTAGCTTCAGAAAATGAAGATTGCGAAGAATGTCACCTGTCAAAGGAAGAAATATGTAAGGCTACTCCATCTGATTGGCCCGTCGATACTGGCGCCACGTCTCACATGTCTGACCAACCTCTTCTATTTAGGAAACTTATACCAATTGTTCCCAAAAGAGTAAAGGTTGGAGGGGGCGAATTAAAGTCTGAATTTTCTGGCGATGTTCAAATGAGGTGTAAAGACGGATCTTCAATGCTTCTTTCCGATGTTTTATTTGTTCCAAATCTGGGAGTTAATCTTCTATCAGTGAGAAGGCTGTGTCAAGCAGGTTTGAACTTTGCGGGTAATCAAAATGAATTGTTCCTTAAGCTAGGCAATAAAGTTATCATTGAAGCTAGAATGAATCAAGGACTCTATACTGTGACGCATATCGCTGAAGGATATGAAGAGACTGCGTTTAATTCTGTGGAAAACGACAGGTCAAATAATAACACTTCATATGTGAGCCCGAGTCAAAACTCACATCAAGAAACTATCCGGAAAAACGAAAGGGAAAGATACCTCAAGTACCACCGTCGCTTTGCTCACTTAGGACCTGAAAAAATTCGAAACTTACATCTGGTTACTACACTCAAAAAGCAGATCAAGATTCCACGAGATCTCGATGTCTGTGAGGTATGTGCACTTACTAAGATGAAAAACAGGATCCCAAAGGTCCTAAGCCCTTGAATCAATGAAATACTGGGACAAGTTCAATTTGATGTCGCAGGCCCATTCCCAACAAGTATCAGAGGCAACAGATGGTTCCTCCTCATCATTGACATTTGCAGCAGAATGAATTGGGTGATTCCAATAAAGACCAAAAGTGATGCATATGAGGCATTAAAAACCTGGAAAACAGTAACTGAACATCAATCGGGCAAGAAAGTTAAATGTGCAAGATCAGACAACGCACCCGAACTCCTCAAAGCCATCCACGATTGGAAAATAGAAGATGGAGTTCTTGCACAATCAACCACTATTGCCTCTTCGCATCAGAACGGCCCTGCAGAACGTTCGATCCAAACTGTTGAGTTCGATATGAGGGCAATGCTAGAAGAAGCCCAGCTTCCAATTGAGTTCTGGGATGAAGCAGCAGAAACTGACTGCTACATACGCAACCGAACTGACTCTGGCCCAATAATTTCGAATATGAAAACCAGTCCAATCAAAGCCTTTACGGGTGAAACCCCTTCAATTGATCATATACGGAAATGGGGGAGTAAATGTTTCTACTATGTAGATAAAAAGACACTGCCTGCTCATGAAAGACACGATAAACTTGTTAACCCAGCGAGAGTAGGCGTATTCGTAGGATATTCTGAGAATACAACAAAACACTTGAAGGTTTATTCACCGGAACGAGGATACACTATTTTATCAAGTCGTGTAGTGATTAACGAGAACGAGAAAGGAGGAACAGTTGATCTAAAGATACGAAATGCAAAGATCGGGCCTCAAGGAACACCGAATGTGACCATGGATAGAAGACCAAGAGGTAGACCAAGAAATGTGCAGATTGAACAAAAGTTGAGTCTTCCTCAAGCTAGTACAGAGAAGGATAAACCAAAAGAAACTGAGGAGCATAACTTTAACTCAGAAGCCATCACACTCACTGATACACGTCCAGCTCATAATAAAGGAGATGCCAGTCGAGAACATGTAAGTATAGTGGGCAGTAGTGAACTCCCCACAATGATTCAGCCCACCCTCCAAAAAGCAGCTCGCAGCAGTGAAAACGTTCGTCAAGACTTAGAGAAGACCTTAATCAACGATCAGCACTTAGAAAATCTGAGCGCGCCTGATATGGATCTGGAAAAAGAACCTGAAAGTGATAACTTGGCTTCAGAAACAGACATCGATACGGACTCTGATTCAGGAGAAGTATATGAGAGATATGAGATAAATGGAAATTGTGAACACCAAGATACAAATCGTCAACCTTACGAGGAGATAATTTCACAAGACGACGAAGAAAACATGAGTGATGGCGAAGCAGAAAAAATTGATGTTGAGAAACTTGCTATGGACAATGATTCAGATGAATTAGAGGAAGAATATCCAGTTGATGCTAATCATTCAACAGAAACATTGTCATTGAATTCTCAGACAAAGAATTCAAACGTAGATACCTCATTAGCTAACACTAATCTTGAGCACAATTTTTCGACCCCAAAACATTTATTCCCACTGCAAAGGCACAGATACTTTACACGCTCCACCGCTCAGAAACGTACCTCTCAGCAAGAAACTGAGTCGCTTCGAGATTCCAAACGTGTCAAGGTATTCATTGCACAATTGATTCAAAGTCGAAG